GTGTCATCTGCAAATTTGATGAGTTCCCCTTCTATTCCCTCATCTAAGTCGTTTATGAAGATATTGAAGAGTCCTGGGCCTAAGACGGAAACCCTGTTTCCCCTAAAATAAGACATCCCCTGATAATAAACCCAATCTTCTTCTCCTCCTCCTCCTCCTCCTCCTCCTCCTTCTCCATCTCCTCCTTCTCCTTCTCCTCCTCCTCCTCTTCTCCTTCTCCTTCTTCTTTTCCTTTTCCTTCTCCTCCTCCTCCTCCTTTTCCTCCTTTTCTCCTTCTCCTTTTCCTTCTCCTTTTCCTTCTCCTTCTCCTCCTTTTCTCCTTCTCCTTCTCCTTTTCCTTCTTCTCCTCCTTTTCTCCTTCTCCTTCTTCTTCTTTTCCTTTTCCTTCTCCTCCTCCTCCTCCTTTTCTCCTTTCCCTTTTCCTTCTCCTTTTCCTTTCCTTCTCCTTCTTCTCCTCCTCCTCCTCCACTCTCTCTTCTAGTACTGATGATGCTATATAGTTGGGTAATCAAACAACTGCAAGAAAACCACCAAGCTCAGAAAGCACAAAGGATCACCCTCCTCCTCCTCCTTCTCCATCTCCTCCTCCTCCTCCTCCTTCTCCTCCTCCTCCTCCTCCTCCTCTTCCATCTCCTCCTTCTCCTTCTCCTTCTCCTTCTCCTTCTCTTCCTCCTCCTCCTCCTCCTCCTCCATCTCCTTCTCCTTCTCCTTCTCCTCCTCCTCCTCCTCCTCCTCTCCTTCTCCTCCTTCTTAGTTGCAAAGTCGTGTCCGACCCATCGCGACCCCATGGGCAATGTTCCTCCAGGCCTTCCTGTCCTCTACCATCCCCCATAGTCCATTTAAGCTCACGCCGACTGCTTCAGTGACTCCATCCAGCCACTTCGTTCTCTGCCGTCCCCTTCTTCTTTTGCCCTCCATCATTCCCAGCTTCTCCAGCGAGTCCTTCCTTCTCATTAGGTGGCCAAAGTATTTGAGTTTCCTCTTCAGGATCTGGCCTTCTAAAGAGCAGTCAGCATTAATCTCCTCTAGGACTGACCGGCTTGATCTCCTTGCAGTCCAAGGGACTCGCAGGAGTCTTCTCCAGCACCAGAGTTCAAAGGCCTCCATTCTTTGGCCTTCTCAGCCTTCCTTATGGTCCAACTTTCGCAGCCACCCATTGCAACTGGGAAAACCATCGCCTTGACTATACGCACTTTTGTTGGCAGGGTGATGTCTCTGCTTTTTTGTATGCTGTCTAGATTTTCCATAGCTTACCACCCCAGGAGCAAGCGTCTTTTAATTTCTTGGCTGCAGTCCCCATCTGCGGTGATCTTGGAGCCCAGGACTTTTCTTAATATGAAGGAGAAATCAAAACACGTCACTAAACTCCCCAAAATAAAAATGGCCTTCCGCATTGCTACTACACCTTTGACATGTTTCTGCCAAATCTCGAGAGCCATCGAGTTTCTCCCTGCCCATCCATACTGGGCTTCACCGAGTCATCTTTCTGGGAACCCAAGCTGAGATCCAAGAAAATATTTTAAATTTCCTCAGTCGGTTCAAATGTCTCTCCCTCTCTCTCTCGGGAGACCCCCCTTTGGTCTTTTCTATTTTCGAAGCCCTGCACAACACTTGCGGTCTTGAAAAGCTCGGCTTCCTCCTGCAGAAACAGCGGGAAGCCTTCCGCACAATTGCAGAGCATAGAAATGAAATGTATCACAGTTTTATTGAGATATACGCTGACAGCGGAAGAATAAATCTGGCCCAATAATGGGGAAAAGAAACATTTTGGTGGTTTGATTGGGAGATAAAAGTGGAGAATGGAGAAATTGACTATATATATATATATATATATATATATATATATATATATATATATATATATATATATATATATATATATATATATATATATATGTTTTTGTAGAGATATATATATAATGTGTGGTGTGTAATCATATATTCATAGATATTCATAGATTCATAAAAGAAATATATATATATATATATATATATATATATATATATATATATATATATATATATATATAGGCAGTGGCTCAGTGGCTAAGATGCTGAGCTTGTCGGTCGAAAGATCGGCAGTTCAGCAGTTCGAATCCCTAGTGCCGTGTAATGGGGTGAGCTCCCGTTACTTGTCCCAGCTTCTGCTAACCTAGCAGTTCAAAAGCACGTAAAAAAATGCAAGTAGAAAAGGTAGGTATCACCTTCGGTGGGAAGGTAACAGCGTTCCGTGTGCCTTTGACGTTTAGTCATGCCGGCCACATGACCACGGAGGCGTCTTCGGACAGCGCTGGCTCTTCGGCTTCTACCTACCTACCTACCTACCTACCTACCTACCTACCTACCTACCTACCTACCTACCTACCTACCTACCTACCTACTTCATCTATCTATCTATCTATCTATCTATCTATCTATCTATCTATCTATCTATCTATCTATCTATCTATCTATCTATCTATCCATCCATCCATCCATCCATCCATCCATCCATCCATCCATCCATCCATCCATCCATCCATCCATCCATCCATCCATCCATCCATCTATCTATCTATCTATCTATCTATCTATCTATCTATCTATCTATCTATCTATCTATCTATCTATCTCATTTGTCTGTCTATCTATCTATTTATCTATCTATCATCTATCTATCTAATCTATCATCTATCTCATCTATCTGTCTGTCTGTCTGTTTGTCTATCTATCTTCCTATCTACCTATCTATCAGCTATCTCATCTGTCTGTCTGTCTGTCTGTCTGTCTGTCTGTCTGTCTGTCTGTCTATCTATCTATCTATCTATCTATCTATCTATCTATCTATCTATCTCATCTGTCTGTCTATCTATTTATCTATCATCTATCTAACTAATCTATCATCTATCTCATCTGTCTGTCTGTCTGTCTGTCTGTCTATCTATCTATCTATCTATCTATCTATCTATCTATCTATCTATCTATCTATTGTGTTTCGCCGAAAATAAGACCCTGTCTTATATTTTTTTGAACCCTGAAATAAGTGTTTGGCCTTATTACCATGCGCTCAAAAGCCCGATTGGGCTTATTATCAGGGGATGTCTTATTTTGGGGGAAACAGTGTATTTATCTATCTATTTCTCTATCTATCTATCTATCCATCCATCCATCCATCCATCCATCCATCCATCCATCCATCCATCCATATCTGTCTGTCTGTCTGTCTGTCTATCCATCCATCCATCCATCCATCCATCCATCCATCCATATCTGTCTGTCTGTCTGTCTGTCTATCCATCCATCCATCCATCCATCCATCCATCCATCCATCCATCCATCCATCCTTGTTATCTCTTTCTCTCTCTCCATCCATCCATCCATCCATCCATCCATCCATCCATCTATCCATCCATCTGCATGATCTTGATTCTGTCCCTCTGTTAATGCAACCTGGGACTGCATTATTCATCTAGTCAATATCTCTGCGTATTTAGTTTAATGCAGTTGCTCGGTTTGGGTATCGAAATATAATCCACGCAGCAGACCTGTTTCGTAAGTGGGTAGGTTGCCATGTAATATCTTAGTGGCAGAGACCAGCCGTAGGGCAAAAGACCAAAAAAATGGCCTTTAGACATTCCCTGAGGCTCCTTTCTGCATCTCCTCCTTCTTTAGTCTTTTGAAGTGTTTACATTTAATGGAAAATGGAAGGCAGGCATGTTGCAGAAAAACAAGAAAAGAAGAAGGGATGGGAAGAATCTTTCTGGAGGTCACGGCATTTTATCACGAGCAGCCAGTTTTCGGTCTAGAAATGAAGACCAATTTTTTGTTTTTCTCTGTTTTGGAAGCTGGCACCTCGGTCAACTTCTGTTCATTAAATTGAGCATCATTTCAAAGCATCTCCAAACCTCTTTGGTGACTTCAGCAACATATCCATGTACAGGCAGTCCTAGATATACCGCCATCCGTTAAGCGACCGTTCAAAGTTTTTAATGGCACTGAAAAAAGTGGGGTATGACCAGTCCTCACACTTACGACCATTGCTGCATTCCCCATCATTGTATGATCAAAGTTTGGGTGATTGACACCTGCCATGTATTTATGACGGTTGCAGAGTCCTAGAATCACGTGATTATTGGGGTTTTAAATTTTTAGCCAAATTATTTAATTCGTTTTACTCTATTTTAAATTTTGTATTTATATGTTTTATTCTATGGCTGTTCACCGCCCTGAGTCCTTCGGGAGTAGGGCGGTATACAAATTTAATAAAATAAAATAAATAAAAAATAAAATCGCCCCTTTTTGAGACCTTCCCAGCCATCTTCCAGCAAGCAAAATCAATGGAGGAAGCCAGATTCACTTAATGACCACGTGATTCAATTAACAACAGCTGTGATTCGCTTAACAACCATGGCTAAAATAGTAAGAAAAATTGGGGATGGCTTCTTTATTTATTTGTTCGTTGGTTTATTTATCAAACTTCTAGGCCCCCCATCTCACTGAAGGCAACTCTTAACTTTACAACTGCTTCATTTAGCAATGGGCATTCTGGTGTCAATTGTCGTAAGTCGAGGACTATCTGTAGTTTCTGAGAAGTGGAAATATATAGCCCTATTAAGACTGGGGTGTGTTTTGGTGCATAATTCTACCAAAATTTGCATAGGGTGTTTCCATTTTTCCTCCCCAAATGAATGCAGATTATAACAGTGCCCTTTAACAGAATAACAGAGATGGAAGGGACCTTAGAGGTTTTCTAATCCAACACCAGGGGTGAAATCCAGCAGGTTCGGACAGGTTCTGGAGAACCCGTAGCGGAAATTTTGAGTAGTTCAGAGAACCGGCAAATGCCACCTCTGGCCGTCCCCAGAGTGGGGTGGGAATGGAGATTTTGCAATATCCTTCCCCCAGGAGTGAGGAGGGAATGGGAATTTTGCAGTATCCTTCCCCTGCCATGCCCACCAAGCCACGCCCCACCAAGCCACGCCCACAGAACTAGTAGTAAAAAAAAAATTGAATTCCACCACTGTCCAACACCCTGTTCAAGCAAGAGACTCTATACCACTCCAGACAAACAGTTGTCTTATCTCTTCTTTAAAACCTCCAGTGATGGAGCACCCACAACTTCTGGTGGCAAGCTGTTCCACAGGTTAATTGTTCTCCCTGTCAGGAAATTTCTCCTTCGTTCCAGTTTGCTTCTCTCCTTGATCAGTTTCCATCCGTTGCTTCTTTTCTTGCCTTCAAGGTACTCTGGAGAATAGGTTGACCCCCAACTCTTCTTCGTGGCAGCCCCTCCTCCAATATTGGAAGACTGCTATCATGTCACATCCTGGTCCTTCTTTTCGTTAAACCAGACATGCCCGATTCCTGCAACCTTTCTTCCTTATGTTTTGGTCCATTGTATTTTCTATCATCCGTATTTTATTATATGATAATTTTATACAACCGTTTTTGATGTGCCTGTTTTAACAACCGGCAAACATCTGCATTTAGAATCAGGTGAAGTTCCGAAGTTCCGTTTGGCTCAGAAATGCCAAGCGTGAAACGATCTCGTCTCCATTTTTCGGTCACAGATTCAGGTTGTGAAAAGTTTCTTTGTCTGCGGCCCTACTTGGCGCTCCTTTAATGGTAGCATATTCCGAGCGCTCTTCCGAATTGATTTTCTTAGGAAGCTGTAATTCACTTGGGTCTTTCAGGTCAGCGTAGACGATCTCTTTATCCCCAGAAATCTGGAATAAAAGCAAGAATGAGCTGTTGGCTTGGGATTTTAAATCCAAAGGTTGCACACCGCAAGGGGTCTAAATGGGTATAAAATTAACGCATCTTCTGGGGACTCGGAATACAGAGAACGATAAACTAACAAGGCCGCCTCCACATACACCCCAAACCACATTAACTAAGATAAACCCTAATTATTTGCAGAGCCGGTTTGGTATAGTACTTAAGGGGCTGGTCTAGAAACCAGGAGATGGTGAGTTCTAGTCCTGCCTTAGGCAAGAACGCTGGCTGGGTGTCTTTGGGCCAATCATTGGGAGATGATAAGTTCTAGTGCTGCCTTATACACGAGAGGTGGCTAGGTGACTTTGGGCCAATAACTAGGAGATGGTGAGTTCTAGATCTGCCTTAGACATGAAAGCTGGCTGGGTGATTTTGGGCCAATCACCAGGAGACTGTGAGTTCTAGTGCTGCCTAAGGCATGAAAAATGGCTGGGTGACTTTGGGCCAATCACCAGGAGATGGTGAGTTCTAGTGCTGCCTTATACATGAGATGTGGCTAGGTGACTTTGGGCCAATAACTAGGAGATGGTGAGTTCTAGTTCTGCCTTAGGCGTGAAAACCGGCTGGATAACTTTGGGCCAATCACCAGGAGATGGTGAGTTCTAGTGCTGCCTTATACATGAGATGTGGCTAGGTGACTTTGGGCCAATCACCAGGAGATGGTGAGTTCTAGTGCTGCCTTATACACGAGAGGTGGCTAGGTGACTTTGGGCCAATAACTAGGAGATGGTGAGTTCTAGATCTGCCTTAGGCATGAAAGCCAGCTGAATGATTTTGGGCCAATCACCAGGAGACTGTGAGTTCTAGTGCTGCCTAAGGCATGAAAGCCAGCTGGGTGACTTTGGGCCAATCACCAGGAGATGGTGAGTTCTAGATCTGCCTTAGGCATGAAAGCCCGCTGGATGATTTTGAGCCAATCACCAGGAGACTGTGAGTTCTAGTGCTGCCTAAGGCATGAAAGCCGGCTGGATGACTTTGGGCCAATCACCAGGAGATGGTGAGTTCTAGTGCTGCCTTATACATCAGATGTGGCTAGGTGACTTTGGGCCAATAACTAGGATATGGTGAGTTCTAGTTCTGCCTTAGGCATGAAAGCCAGCTGAGTGACTTGAGGCAGTCTCTCTCAGTCTAACCCACCTCAAAAGATTGTCGTTGTGGGAAAAATAGAAGGCGGAAGGCCTATTATATTTGTTCGCCTCCTTGAGTTACTTATAAAATAGTAAAGGCAGGATAAATATATATATTAACCACTGTAAAGACTGACTAAGCTTAATCCATGATGGAAGACAGGTTTCCTAGGACGGGATTTTTTTTCTTTCTAACCTTGACAAAGTGAAGGTGAGTGAACTTCAACTCCCACAATTCTCTGCAGTCTGCTGTGGCATTCTGGGAGTTGAAGTCCATATATCTGGGCTTGGATTCACCTAACCTAATTAAATATATTGTGAGCTTATAACAAATAGCTGCAAAACTATTTGAAGTTGAAATGGGATCAGCCTAAAAGGACATAATTCCTGTATTAGTAGTACAAGTAGTCCTCGACCTATGACCACAATCGAGCTCCGAATTTAAGCAAGACAGCTGTTAAGTGAGTTTTGCCCCATTCTACAACCTTTCTGGCCACATTTGCTAAATGAATCGCTGCAGTTGTTAAATGAGTAACATGGTTGTTAAGTAAATCTGGCTTCCCCATTGATAAAGACCCAGGACACTAAATATGAGTCAGTTGCCAAGCGCCCGAATATTGATCATGTAATCACTAGGATGCTGCAATGGTCGTAAGAGTGAAAAACGGTCCTAAGTCACTTTTTTCAGTGCTGTTGTAACTTCAAACGGTCACTAAATGAACGGTTGTAAGTCGAGGACTACCTGTATGGAGTCCCCTGGTCAAGCCCAAACACAACCATCTAATCAACTAAAGTTCAATGCTAAACTGGCATCAGTACTGTCTGTAATTTTAAAAGTAACTGTCACTCTTACCGGCTTAGAAGTTTGCTGTTTTTTTGGAAAGTCGGACCTGAGGAAAAAATGCAGAGAGAGATTAGGCGACCCCATGGCCATTTTCATTTCATTTCATTTCATTTCATTTCATTATTTCATTTCATTTCATTTCATTATTTCATTTCATTTCATTTCATTATTTCATTTCATTTCATTTCATTTCTTTTCTTTTCTTTTCTTTCTTTTCATTATATTATATTATATTATATTATATTATATTATATTATATTATATTATATTATATTATATTATATTATATTATATTATATTATATTATATTATTACATTGCATTGCATTACATTACATTACATTATATATTATATTATTGTATTATATTATATTATATTATATTATATTATATTATATTATATTATATTATTATATTGTATTGTTATTATTGTATTATATTATATTATATTATATTATATTATATTATATTATATTATATTATATTATATTATATTATATTATATTATATTGTTTTGTTTTATTTTATTTTATTTCATTTTATTTTTTTATTTTACTTTACTTTGCTTTGCTTTACTCTACCCTACAATAATCTATCTACTCTACTCTAGTCTATTAATTCCTATTCTGTTCTGTTCTGTTCTATTCTATTCTATTCTATTCTATTCTATTCTATTCTATTCTATTCTATTCTATTCTATTCTATTCTATTCTATTCGACTTTATTTTATTTTGTTTTATTATATTTTATAATTGTACCCTGTTTCCCCCCAAAATAAGACATCCCCTGATAATAAGCCCAATCGGGCTTTTGAGCGCATGGCAATAAGGCCAAGCGCTTATTTCAGGGTTGAAAAAATATAAGACAGGGCCTTATTTTCAAGAAAACACGGTACTTTCATATTTAGAAACCTCCGATCTCCCTCACAGAGAGATTCTGGGGTGTTTACAAATAATATATTACATTTAAAAAGCAGTATATAAAATTCAAGCCACGTTTCCTCAATTATCGGACTGGCTTGGCAACTGAAACTGTCTCTCCCGACTCCCTTGCCTCAGATTCTATTTATTGATCAAAAATGTTAACAACAACTAAAACAACATGTTGAATATTTCAGAGGAGGCTTGGTGACCTTGAGGATGAACTAGAAATCAATGTTTTCACACAATAAATTGCAGGGGGGAATGAAATAACAGTTCTTAGTTTCTTATTCTGTATCTAGGATTGGCTTAATGCTGTAAAGAGGGAAATAAGCTAAACTGTGTCGTCTGAATTCAGGATTTTTTGGGGGGGGAGGAACGCTTGCCGACGCTTCAGGGACCTTCATGAGGACTAGAAACGTGCTTTCAAAACTGAGATGGGTGAGGATTTTAATTCTGCACCTGCAGTCGAATATGGGACGGGTGTAACAAAGTGTGCAGGTTGCTATTTTGCACATATTAAACGGGAACAATCTTGGGGCCAAGGCTAGCGATGTTAGTGGGGTCAAAAAATTCAAAATGGCGGCAATCACGGTTTCGTCAAAACCTTGACCATTTTTTTAATGGGCGTCTTCTTTGACAGACCCTCACTCGCTTAGCAAAATGCCAGGACCCAGAACCAAGGAATAGAATAGAATAGAATAGAATAGAATAGAATAGAATAGAATAGAATAGAATAGAATAGAATAGGAAGGGACCTTGGAGGTCATCTAGTCCAGCCCCCTGCTCAAACAGGAGATCGTATGCCATTTCAGACAAGTGACTATCCAGTCTCTTCTTAAAAGTCTCCAGTGTTGGAGCACCCACAACTTCTGGTGGCCAGCTGTTCCACTGGTTAATTGTCCTCACTGTTAGGAAGTTTCTCCTTAATTCCAAATTGCTTCTCTCTTTGATTAGTTTCCAACCATTCTGCCCTCTGGTGCTTTGGATTAAAGAAAGTTTTATACAATTTCACTAAAGCAGAAGGCGGGAATAAGGCGGGATATCTAGTGGTGAAATTCAATTTTTTTTACTACTGGTTCTGTGGGTGTGGCTTGGTGGGCGTGGCAGGGGAAGGATACTGCAAAATCTCCATTCCCTCCCCACTCCTGAGGGAAGGATATTGCAAAATCCCCATTCCCACCCCACTCCTAAGGGAAGGATATTGCAAAATCCCCATTCCCTCCCCACTCCTGAGGGAAGGATATTGAAAAATCCCCATTCCCTCCCCACTCCTGAGGGAAGAATATTACAAAATCCCCATTCCCTCCCCACTCCTGAGGGAAGAATATTGCAAAATCCCCATTCCCTCCCCTGGGAGAAGGATATTGCAAAATCCCTGTTCCCTCCCCACTCTGGGGCCAGCCAGAGGTGGTATTTGCCGGTTCTCTGAACTACTCAAAATTTCCGCTACTGGTTCTCCAGAACCTGTCAGAACTTGCTGAATAGCACCTGGGGATATCTATATATATAAAAAAATCTAATAAACATTTTAGCAATGATCAAACCATTGCTCTATTGGCCTCTAGCCGTCCCTATTCCTAAACCTTGAGTAATGAATGCTCCAGGAGTTATCTAATACACATTTGCTCCAGGCCATCTCTATTCCTAACATCTACTTGAGGTTTGCAAGATGCCTAACTACTTGTTACTCCAAAAGTGCTTTTTTCCCCCCAAGAGGCACCTAGACCTTCTGCTTTTTCTTTGAAGGCATTTCGCTTCTCATCCAAGAAGCTTCTTCAGCTCTGACTGAATGTTGAGGAAAAGAAGGATTTATATTCCTTGCAGACAGCTGGTCATTTGCATCCTTTTTAGAGAGTCGTAGAGGCCACTCGGAGGTTTGTCTGTGTCCTCAGATTCATCTGTCAAAGGGTTGTGAAGCCTTCTTGGAACTGCTGAGAGGACTTGTAGACCGTTGGCACATGAAGTTGTACCTCCCCTCCCTGTTGAGAAAGGACTGTTGAATTTTGACTAAGGCAATTTTTGCACCACTCAGGTGACCCTGAGGACACAGAGAAACCTCCAAGTGGCCTCAACGGCTCTCTAAAAAGGATGCAAATGACCAGCTGTCTGCAAGGAATATAAATCCTTCTTTTCCTCAACATTCAGTCAGAGCTGAAGAAGCTTCTTGGATGAAAAGCGAAATGCCTTCAAAGAAAAACAAGAAAAGTCCAGTTGCCTCTTGAAAAAAAGCACCTTGGACTCAAAATTCTTGTCTTTATCCTGTTTATTATCTATACTCACTTTCTATCCATTGATAAAATTTCCCCCAAATGTTGTAATACTCCGATTTTGTTTTCCCTTTAATTGCCAATATCAACCTATTCATTTCTGCACATTCCAATATTTTCTTAATTGCCTCCCCTTTTGTAGGGATTTGAGATGAATATGTTGTAGTATATTAAAATTAAATGAAAGAAGGAAAGATAAATATGTATTTTAAGAAACAATGGTAAACTTTGAAAATGATAGCACAAATGTTATACCCAGATGATACATGGATTGATTAAAAAATGTACAGGAATACTAGAGGAATAATAGTAAAGTAAAAAATGAAATTGGAAATGGAGACGTATGTAAATAGAAATTAGGTCTGCTCGAATACCATCTCAGATTGAATCAAAAAAGGAAAGAACAAAGGAATGGAAAAGAGGGGAGGAACAGAGAGGGGAAAGTAGGGGAGTTGGGAGGTGAGAAGAAGAGAAAAGAAGGATGGGAAAAGGAGAGGAAGAAGGAAGGGGAAAGGAGAGCAGGAGAGAGGGTAAGAAAGGGAGGAAGAAGAGAGGAGAAGGGGAAAGAGGAAAGGAAGTAGGAAAGGAGAGGAGAGGAGGAATGAGGAAAGAAGAAAGAAAGGAGGAGAAAGAAAGGAAGGGAAAAAGGAAAGGTTGTAGTAAAACAAAAGAAGGAAATGGTAAAAGAGCAGACCCGAACAAATAATTAATTAATGACCTAATGGAAGTTAAAGAAGAAGATGAACGAACCAATGTATAAGGATGGATATAAGATTATACATTCTATGTTCTCGCCAGACAGACTTCCTTTCAAGAGTTTGCCATAACCTTGTTCTGTTTTAGCAAACAGCCCATCATTAGCAACCGACATTTGGGGACCTATTGTGCTTGTAAGTAGAGGACTACCTGTAACCTGGTTAGAGAATGACGAGTCTTCCTCAATTTACGACCATAATCGATCCTGGAATTAAGAGTTGTAAATCGGGCCAGTCATCACGGGACTGATCTGATTCGCCGACATTTTTTTTTTTTGTGGCTGTCAGAAGAAAATGCTGGTTTTGGCAGGGATCCCTTTATGACTTGTGGACTTCAACTCCCAGAATTCCTGAGCCAGCCATGATGGCTGGCCCAGGGAATTCTGGGAGTTGAAGTCCACAGGTCATCAAGAGGCCATAGTTGCCCACACCTTGTCTAGACTTTCCCACAATTTCCGTTTTTCTTTGTCTTTTATATTTTGATAAACTGCTAAATAATCTCTCTATATAAAGGCGAAATACCACTCACACGTCATCACAAAAGCTCCAGAACCATAAAGCCCACAAACTTGAAATTTGCCATGTATGTTCCTCTTGGCTTCTTGGTGCTCACTAAGAAAGGATTTTTCGAAATGACCATCAGAGCATTAGTATTTCCTATATTATTATTAACACGCTCTGATGCTAAGGAGTCCTACTCCCCCCTCACCACCTGAAAAGAAATCTGTTCCAAATGCAAAACACAAGCAGAGGAGAGGAGTTTCAGTTTCAGTTTTACTTTCACAGCAGCAAGCAGAGAATAGGATAGCGGAGGCTTCTGTGGGGCAAGCCTGAGGGAGAGAAGGGGAGAGGATGGTAACTACTCATTAATTTTCAAGCTGTAAGTGTCGATTTATCAAGCCCGATCACATAGTTTCGTAGCGGAGCATGGGTATTCAGCTAGTAAATAATGTTAATTAAAAAAATTTGGAATCATAAAAACAACAACAACAACAACAACTGGAGGACAATCCTTTAACTGCAGGAGGCCTGTTTTCCTCTTTTGTTTTGAGAGCAAAAAGGCAAAACGTTTCTCTGGCATTTGAGTGGCGGTTTCTTTCCCCCCATATCCCCTCCGGGGAAGGTTTGGATTTTTTAAAATATTTATAATAACGGAGGTGGATGACAGCTTTCACCTATTAAAGTCTATGATACACTTAATGTGCCTATTTCGTCTTTGCCTAGAGAGAAACGTGGAATATTGTTCCTTGTTATTCTGAGCTCTGCAGCTCCGTTGAAGTGGCACAGATTTCTGGGTCTCCTGGTGGGGTCCTTAGGGGGGATAGAGAGAGCTTGGAAGTGAGCAGGTAATCTCACTTCCGCAATCATTAGATGGAAGAAAAAGACAAAGAAAGAGGGAAGGGAGAGAAGATGGGAGGATGGATGGATGGATGGATGGTAGGAAAGAAGGAAGGAAAGAGAGGGAGAGGGAAAAGCGGAGGGAGAGAGGGAATGGGGAATAGGGTGGGGAAGGGAAGTGGGAAGGGCAGGGAGAGGGAGGGAGGGAGGAAGGGAGAGGAGAGGAGAGGGAGAAGGGGAGGGCAAGGAGATTGGGGTCGGGTGAAAGGGAGCGGGGAGAGGGAGGAAGGAAAGGGAAAGAAAGGGTGATGGAGAGAGAAAGGGGAGGAAAGGGAAGGAATGAGGGACTGGATAGATAGATAGATAGATAGATAGATAGATAGATAGATAGATAGATAGATAGATAGATAGATAGATGGAGGATGGATGGATGAAGAGATAGATAGATAGATAGAGAGAGATGATCAATCCATCCATCCATCCATCTACCTACCTACCTATCTCTATGATCTATTTGTCTCTATGATAGATAGATAGATAGATAGATAGATAGATAGATAGATAGATAGATAGATAGATAGATGGATGGATGGATGGATGGATGGATGGATGGATGGATGGATGGATGGATGGATGGATAGATGGATAGATAAATAGATAGATAGATATCCATCCATCCATCCATCCATCCATCCATCCATCCATCCATCCATCCATCCATCCATCTACCTACCTACCTATCTCTATGATCATCTGTCTCTATGATAGATAGATAAGATAGATAGATAGATGGATGGATGGGTGGATGGATGGGTGGGTGGGTGGATGGATGGATGGGTGGATGGATGAAGAGATAGATAGATAGATAGATGATCTATCTATCCATCCATCCACCCATCCATCCATTCATCTACCTACCTACCTATCTCTATGATCATCTGTCTGTCTGTCTGTCTGGATGGATGGATGGATGAAGAGATAGATAGATAGATAGATAGATAGATAGATAGATAGATAGATAGATAGATAGATAGATAGATAGATAGAGATAGATGTGTGTTGTGGGGGGAGAGAGGCGGAGAGAAAGAGACAGAGAGATAAAAACAGACAGAGAGAGCTATAAACAGGGTGGAATCAAATTAGCACCATTTCCTGCCTCAGCAGGCTCATTCGCAGCTTTTAATCCCTGCCCCTCCCCCCAATTAAAACCAGATTACAGATCTGGAATCCATCTGTCTTCCCTTTAATGCCGTTCTCAGGGGCTGCTCTTTGAATGTGATGGGCAGAGCAGCCCTGCAGGAGATGGAGCTTTTAATTCTTCCCCCCCCCCCCCCCCGCCTGGCATGCCGTCTCCCCCCAAAGGGAAGGGAAAGGGAGGAAATGGAGAAAGTAGCAGGGGCGAAAGAGCTGGCTGGATGCCACTCCATCCAGCTCCAAGCTTTGTGGTGGCAATCAAATCCCTGAAATCCCCCAGCGGGGTTTGAAAAGCCACATAAAAACAGCCAGAGAAGGAGAATTGGTTTCATAGAATAATTGGGTTGGAAGGGACCTCGGAGGTCTTCTAGTCCAACCCCCTGCTGGACTGGTTGTAAGGGAAGGAAAAGAGCCTTGGTGGCGCAGCAGACTAAAGCGCTGTTAAGTAGCACCAGCTGCCTGCAATTACTGCGAGTTTGAATCTCACCAGGCTCAAGGTTGACTCAGCCTTCCATCCTTCCGAGGTAGGTAAAATGAGGACCCAGATTGTGGGGGCAATCAGTTGACTTTGTATAAAAAAGAACACCGCTTGGAGGGAGGGGGGGGGGCAAAAGCCCTACTAAGCAGGTATGTACAAAAGCATGAAGGCTATTGCTTAACGCATTGTAAGCCGCCCTGAGTCTCCGGAGAAGGGCGGCATATAAATCGAACCAATAAATAAATAAATAAATAAAATGAATCCTGCAGCCCGCTTAGGGATTGTCAGTGAAATGAGGCAGGTTAGATATAGGTAGTCCTCGACTTACAGCCACAACTGAGCCCAATTTTTGTCACTAAGCAAGGAAGTGGTAGTTAAGTGTTAACTAGCTTAACAAAATTCACTTGTTAAGTGAGTTTTTTCCCCATTTTATGCTTGGCATCTGACCAGGGGTGAAATGCTCCCGGTTCGGACCGGATCGCCCGATCCGGTAGCGATGGCGGCGGGTGGTTCGGAGATCCGGTAGCAAAAATCCCTGCCCCCGCCCCATTGCCCAGTTGAGCCGCACAATCATTAGAGGCTTTTTTTTTTTGTTACTTTAAAAACATTTTTTCTACAACCTCTTCTGACGAAAAAATGCTTTTAAAAGTAAAAAAAAAGCCTCTGATGATCCCCGCCGCTCAGCTGGGATCATCAGAGGCTTTTCAAAGCATTTTTTTTCTGCAACCTCTTCAGCCGAAGAGGTGGTACAAAAAATGCTTTGAAAAGTCTCTGACGATCCCAGCTGAGTTACCTGATCGTCAGAGAGGCTTTTCAAAGCATTAGAAAAAATGCTTTGAAAAGTTTAAAAAAAAAAAAGTTGGCCACGCCCACCCAGTCACATTACACCCCCCCCACTAAGCCACGCCCCACAGAACCGGTAGTAACAAATTTTACAGTTCACCCCTGCATCTGCATATTTATGACGGTTGCTGTGTCCCGGGGGGTCATGGAATCCCATTTTGCGACTTTCCGACAAGCAATGGGGAAGCCAGATTCACTTAACAACCATGTAATTCATTTAAGAACTGCCGTGTTTCACTCAACAAATGTGGCAAAAAAAATAATAAATTAGCATGTTTTGTTTAGCAATGGAAATTCTGCTCCCACTTATGGTCGCAAATCGAGGACTAGCTAACAAAAAGATATCGAACTTCTACAGACCTTGTATGGTTGTTCCTTAGACCTGGACACAAGAGAAAAACAGAATTAGCAAACATTTGCAAAAATTCATCGTTGTAAATTATAATCTATTTCTCTCCTCCCCCCTCCCCCCATTATCTGAATTTGAATGTCAAGATTTTTATATCAACAATATTATCCCCAATTCGGGTCTGAGCCTGGTGCCAAAGCCAGTGATGGACGCCAGACACGAGGTACAGGTTTTCTGGTGGCTTTTTATTGGGGTGCCCCAAGGAAAAAAGGACTCCTGGCCAAAATGCCAAGAACCAAGAACAAAGGATTAAGAAAGCTTTATACATTTTCAGTAAAAGAGAAGGCGGGACGAGGCGAGATAATAAGAAATATCATCTAACAAACATTTTAGTAATAATTCTACAATTTGTTCTATTGGTCTCTAGCTGTCCCTGTTCCTAAACCTTGGCTAATGAATGCCCCAGGAGTTATCTAATACACATTTTATTGGCTGCAGGCCATCTGTATTCCTAATTTTTAGCTGAGGCCTGCAAGTTGTTTAACTCTTCTTACTTTTATCGGCTTTCTAACGACCCAGAATTGTTACAAGATTCACACATGCATATTTCCTGTAGATAAGCGTTCTTTGCTCTTGCCAGACACACTCCACAATTACAGGGTTCCTGATTTACTTTCAAGTGTGTGTCATGAGCTGGCTTTATTTTAGCATACAGCCCATCAACAGAGTTAAAGCTCCAGTTAGACTTGTGGAGCTGAGTTTGCTGACCAGGCCTACCTTGAAAGGCTGGCGTCCGTCTTGAAAGCCTGACTGTGTTTTCTCTCCCCTCCCTTTTACACCCGAGTAAGACAGTCATTTTTCTAGCGCGCTATGTCTGTCGTCTGTTGTGATTTTTCAAACGTGGCCACTTTAAGATGTGTGGACTTCAACTCCCAGAATGCTCGCGGCCTGGGGAATTCTGGGAGTTGAAGTCCACACCTCTTAAAGTGCCCACGTTTGAAAAAACACCATCCTAATCTTACCTTCAAACTGTTCATCCTTTGATCGGTAACAAAGACACGCCCAATTTCGCTCCTCTTTTTTCATCTTTAGGTAGACATAAAGCGCCACGCAGAACAAACAAACCAGGATGAAGACTCCAGAGACTCCAGCAGCAATGGGGATGACTGAACTGTTATCTCTAGAAGCTAAAGAGAAACCTTGAATTGTCATGCTGGAAAAGAAAAACCTCAATCACAGTTTTATTCCCAAGTATTAAACTGACCTCATTTGCAGAAACACTAACTTCGTTTAGACTTAATCCTGGTTAGCTGTCCCGTTGTGGAGTTTTGGACTTATGACGGTGGTTTCTTCTGGGCATCGTGATAAACCCAGACAAGGTAGGTAATTTGTCTAACCAGGATGGGGCCGTTTAACTGTATCACTTTTTTCAGTGCGGTTGTAACTTGAAACGGTCGCTAAACGAATTTTTGTAAGTCAAGGACTATCTGGAATGAAATTCCCACAGTGGAAAACTAATCCAGGAGAGAAGCAACCTAGAACTAAGGAGAAATTTCCTGACAGGGAGAACAATTGATCAGTGGAACCAGTAGTGGGTTTCACATTTTTTAAATACCGGTTCTGTGGGTGTGGCTTGGTGGGCGTGGTTTGGTGGGCGGGGCAGGGGAAGGATACTGCAAAATCCCCATTTCCTCCCGATCAGCTGGACTCGGGAGGCAGAGAATAGATGGGGGTGGCCAGTCAGAATTTTTACTACCGGTTCTCTGAACTACTCAAAATTTCCGCTACCGGTTCACCAGAACTGGTCAGAACCTGCTGAAATCCACCTCTGAGTGGAACAACTTGCCTCCAGAAGTTGTGAATGCTCCAACACTGGAAGTTTTTAAGAAGAGGTTGGATAACCAATTTGTCTGAAGTGGTGTAGGGTTTCCTGCCTAAGCAGGGGGTTGGACTAGAAGACCTCCAAGGTCCCTTCCAACTCTGTTATTATTCTATTCTATTCTATTCTATTCTATTCTATTCTATTCTATTCTATTCTATTCTATCTTTCTATTCTATTCTATTCTATTTATTCCATTCCATTCCACTCCACTCCACTCCACTCCACTCCACTCTCTATTCTATTCTATTCTATTCTATTCTATTCTATTCTATTCTATTCTATTCTATTCTATTCTATTCTATTCTATTCTATTCTATTCTATTCTATTCCATTCCATTCCATTTCACTCCACTCCACTCCACTCCACTCCACTCTCTATTCTATTCTATTCTATTCTATTCTATTCTATTCTATTCTATTCTATTCTATTCTATTCTATTCCATTCCATTCCATTCCATTCCACCCACTCCACTCCACTCCACTCCACTCCACTCTCTATTCTATTCTATTCTATTCTATTCTATTCTATTCTATTCTATTCTATTCTATTCTATTCTATTCTATTCTATTCTATTCTATTCTATTCCATTCCATTCCATTCCATTCCATTCCATTCTATTCTAATCTATTCTATATTTTCTATCCTATCCTATCCTATCCTATCCTATCCTATCCTATCCTATCCTATCCTATCCTATCCTATCCTAAATGGATTGTGGAAACATCAGGAATACCAAAAGTGATCTCTTTGATCAGAGAACAAACAAGAAACTTTTTTGAAAGTCTGGAAGCTTTTTACGGATTTTTTTTGCTGGAAGAGGAAAAATAAGGAATGGAGGATTTATGGATCTGAAGATTGAGAAAGATGGGGACTAAATGGATGAAATATTTAAAACATTTAAGAGGGACGAAAGACAATAAGAATCTAATTATCTGTTTTTTGTTTTTTTTTAAAAAAAGGGCCATCTTTATGTTTCTTCATTTTGTGGCTTTGTTTCCTGTTTTGCTTTTGACTTCTTTTTTTTTCCTCTCTTTTGGTTTGTTATTATGATACGAACATTTTCAATAAACATAATTGAAAGAGAGAGGCAAGCTTAGCCAAAGGAGGAATTTCTTCTTTTGGGCAACCACGAAGGTGTGTGTGTAATGGATTTCCAATTCTGGTTACAGAAATAACTCTTTGTTTATAGTTGTACGTGGTGCACAGAACAAAAAAGAGTTCAATTTGACTTAGAGTCAGTTTATGTTTCGGTCAAAATGCCCCTGGAAAATTCTAAGAGGAGTAAAAATGCCAGGAAAGGATCGGTTTATATATTCTTCTGCAAAGTACAAGTAGAATCTCCACTTTACGTCCACCATTGAACCCAAAATTTGGGTCGCTAAGCGAAACATCTGTTAAGAAGAGCCTTGGTGGCGCAGCAGACTACAGTGCTGTTAAGTAGCACCAGCTGCCTGCAATTATTGCAAGTTCGAATCTCACCAGGCTCAAGGTTGACTCAGCCTTCCATCCTTCCGAGGTAGGTAAAATGAGGACCCGGATTGTGGGGCAATAAGCTGACTTTGTATAAAAAAAGAACACCACTTGGGGGGGGGGCGAAAGCCCTACTAAGCAGGTATATACAAAAGAATGAAGGCTATTGCTTAATGCATTGTAAACCGCCCTGAGTCTCCGGAGAAGGGCGGCATATAAATCGAACAAACAAACAAACAAACAAATAAATAAATAAATAAATAAATAAATAAGTGAATTTCGGCCCGTTTTACGACCTTTCTGCAGTTGTTAAGTTAGTAACACAGTAAGTGAATCTGCCTTCCTCATTGGCTTGTCGGAAGGTCGCAAAAAAAGGGGAACACGTGAACCCCCCCCTCCCCGGGACACTACAACCGTCATAAATATGAGTCGGTGGCCAAGCATTTAAATTTGGATCACATGACCCTGAGGATGTGGCAATGGTTACTTTTTTTCAGTGCCGTTGTAACTTTGAACGGACCCTAAACGGACTGTTGTTAAGTCGAGGACTACCTGCACAGAATAGATCGGTGGGTCAGAAAATCTATATCAGAAAGAAATCATTTTACTACCAGTTCTGTGGGCATGGCTTGGTGGGCGTGGCAGGGGAAGGATACTGCAAAATCCCCCTCCCCTCCCCACTCCTGGGGAAAGGATATTGCAAAATCTCCATTTCCACCTCACTCCAGCGGAAGGATACTGCAAAATCTCCATTCCCTCCCCACTCCAGCAGAAAGATACTGTAAAATCCCCATTCCCACCCCACTCCAGGGGAAGGATACTGCAAAATCTCCATTCCCACCTCACTCCTGGGGGAAGGATATTGCAAAATCCCCATTCTCTCCCCACTCCTGGGGGAAGGATATTGCAAAATCCCCGTTCCCTCCCCACTCTGGGGCCAGCCAGAGGTGCTATTTGCCGGTTCTCCGAACTACTCAAAATTTCCGCTACCGGTTCTCCAGAACCTGTCAGAACCTGCTGGATTTCACCCCTGATCTAATGCCTGCACATTTAATAGTAGACAGAATCACCCACCCAATGCAGAACCTCATTGCCTTGCCAAGATTTCTCTTTAGAAGTTTTAAGTATACACATGGTCCTTGAAGAGTTACAACCATCCGTTGGAGATACCTGCAGAAGAGTACCAAGATGGCGGGGGCCGCACAACAAGAAGCAACGGATGGAAACTAATCAAGGAGAGAAGCAACCTAAAACTAAGGAGAAAGTTCCTGACAGTGAAGACAATTAGTCAGTGGAACGAATTGACTCCAGAAGTTGTGGATGCTCCATCACTGGAGGCTTTTAAGAAGAGACTGGACAGCTATTACTCTGCTCAATTACTCTTGAGCAGGGAGTTGGAACTCCAAGGTCCCTCCCAATTCTGTTATTTTGCCTTCTGGAACAAATTGAAAGAGTGCAGAGAAGAGCCACAAAGACGATGAGGGCCTGGAGGCTAAAACATACGATGATCGCTTGACCTAACGAAGAGAAGGACTAGAGGTGACACGATAGAGAGCTGTCATCCAATATTTGAAGGGCTGCCATAAAGAAGAGGAGTCTAGCTATTCTCCTGAAGTAAGGACAAGAAGCAATGGATGAAAGCTTCTAAAGGAGAGAAGCAACTTAGAAGTAAGGAGAAATTTCCTGACAGTGAGAACAATCAATCAGTAGAACTCCTCTAGAAGTTGTGGGTGCTCCATCATTGGAAGGCTTCCTGCTTGGGCAGGGGGTTGGACTAGAAGACCTCCAAGGTCCCTTCCAACTCTGTTATTCTATTCCTGGAGGCCTCAAGGGACTTGGGATGTATCAGGTCCAAATCTGGAACCAGGCACGGCACTAACACACAGGTCCCCAGACCCAGAAGGCAAGTAAACAAACTTCACGCACAGCTTGTTCACACTCACCTTTTACAACCACCTCAGTCCCACGTCCTTTAAGCCAATCTGTAGTTCCATGCGCCCCTTTCTTCTCCTTCACACAGTAATAAGTCCCCGCGTCTTCCAGACTAAAGTTGTGGATGGAGATGGAGAAATCCGTGTCAGAACGTGGAGAATTCCTGGTTATTCTTTCATCATTTTCATCAATCTCGACATCTGCGTAGATGAGCTTCCGTTGAGGTTTTTCTCCCAAGAACCATTTCACACCACCAGGTATGCGGTTTTTACTCACTTCACACTCCAGGTGGAGAACTTCCCCTTTTGCGACCGAAACAGAGCTCTGGGGTTGCGAGAGCCATGGATCCTGGGCTTTAACACCTGAGAAAGAGGAACCCAGTTAAACCACAGAATCCTAGGGCCGGAAGGGACCTTGGAGGTCTTCTAGTCCAGCCCCCTGCTTAAGCAGGAGACCCTATACTGTTTCAGACAAGTGGCTGTCCAGTCTCTTTTTAAAAACCTCCAGTGATGGAGCACCCACAATTTCTGGTGGCAAGCAGTTCCACTGGTTAATTGTCTCCACTATTAGGAAGTGTCTCCTTAATTCCAGGTTAACCAGTTTGCACATCTCTTATTCATTGCTCTCAGCAACGTTTCTCTGTGCTCTACACCCTGCTGGTTGGTAACACAACAACAATATCCTTAACAGGTTAATTGTCCCCACTGTTAGGAAGTGTCTCCTTAATTCCAGGTTGCTCCTCTCCTTGGAACTCAATGAAACCTCAAAACACTGTTCAGAGCCAGTGAGTGAAACACTGACAGGCACCAAATCAGTGGAGTATTTCAGGGGGCAAATGGCTTTGAAACAAGGCTTTTTTGGGGGGGTGGGTACCAGATGACTGGTTACACTCAGTCCCACATCCTTCTCTCCTCCTTCAAATTACCCCCTAACTGAGGGTTGCTTAGTGCCTGCATGGACAAGCACAGAAGTTCCTTTCCAAATAAAGGCAACTCCGATGCGGTGGGCTGATGATTCCCGAGTCATCGACAAGAAATGCAGAATAAATGGCTGTGTTTGGGTTTAATTTCCTGCCATCTAGTGGCTTAATTTGAGAGGGACAAAGTTGATGTGAAGCAGCCTTGCTTCCCGGCACAATCTGGACTCTGAATGGCAGAGCGATCTCCTTCTTAATGGGACCACACCTTGGGAAAAAAAGGTGCTCCATATCTCACCATTGGAGGAGAGATGTTGAGGTGGCCTCCTTCACTTCTCCAACCTCTTGGAGCACCCCTCAAAAGGGACCGTAGGAGACCACAGGGAGGAGATCAGAGATGGGGAGGGCCATAACTTACTTCCCCAGATCACATTTTTCACACTAAGCTAGTACTAGCCAATAGAAAATATCTACCACCCTTTCCGCAGTCCTTCCTCTGCTGTCAAGGCAACTCAACATGGAAAGTGAGATTGTTATTCTGATGAGGATACTGAGGGATTCCGAGGAATTATGAGTGATTTCTATGAATCCCCTCCCCCACCCATCAAAAAAAAAAAGTAAGAAAGGAAAAAAGAAAACAAGAAGAGAAATGAGCATGGAGCAATTTTTGGAGGAGCTCTGCTCTTTAGTCCCAACCTCTCTCCCGTCAAGCTCAGCAACAGCCGTCCATGCGGTTCTTATTTTTAAATGAATTGGAAACCCAAATGAGTAGCAAATCCAAGGAGCATCCTAGGAGAGGCCGTGACTAATTAGCAGAAATATTGAGTCCAACATCTTACAGTTACTGTTATTGAGGCTGGAAGAAGAGCAGGAAGAAAAAGCAAGAAGGATGATTAAGGGGCTGGAGGTTAAAACATACGAAGAACGGTTGCAGGAATTGGGCATGTCTAATCTAGTGAAAAGAAGGACGAGGAGTGACAGGATAGCAGTGCTCCAATATTTGAGGGGCTCCCACAAAGAAGAGGGGGTCAAATTCAATCTATTTTCCAAAGCACCTGAAGGCAAGGCAAGAAACAATGGGTGGAAACTAATCAGGGAGAGAAGCAACCTAGAACTAAGGAGAAATTTCCTGACACTGAGAACAATTAACCAGTGGAACGACTTGCCACCAGAAGTTGGGGGTGCTCCATCATTGGAGGCTTTTAACAAGAGACTAGACAGTTACTTGTCTGGAATGGTATAGTTCTCCTTTCAAGCAGAGGGTTGGACTAGAAGACCTCTGGGGTCCCTTCCCACACTGTTATGCTGTTATTCTTTCACTCACTATCTCAGTTACTTCAGTCTAAAGCCTTTCGGCCTGATCACTCACCTTTTTTACTTGCTGAAAACGGGCTGGAAAGAACAATGAAAAACAGACCAAAAAGGAAGACACCACAAGCCATTGGAGAAGCCGGTTTCGTTAAAATGACAACCAGCCTCGGGGTCTCCTCGATTGTGGCATAAACAGGACTGGATTGTCACTCACACAATCAGTTGCTTCTGCGTAGTGTCTGGCTACAGATTTGCCAATTCCTCAAAAAGGAAGTCGCAACAGGAAACTGATTTGACACGAAGTCTGGTGCGTTTTGGGTTGTGTTACATTTTGGGGAAGAATACGGTGGCAAAATAAGGAAAGATTCTCCATAAATGGCTGATTAACCCCCAACAGAGTTTTGCAAAGACTTTCCAGAAAGAAAGAAAGAAAGAAAGAAAGAAAGAAAGAAAGAAAGAAAGAAAGAAAGAGAGAGAGAGAGAGAGAGAGAGAGAGAGAGAGAGAGAGAGATGGGGAGAGAGAAAGAAGTAATTGTGGGAGGAATCTCAGTGTCTTAGTAAACCATCACTGAAGTTATGAGCCAGCCATGTGCTACAGCTGCCCAAAAGACCAATGCAGTCCCAGGTTGCATCACCAGAAGGATGACATCAACATCATGTGAAGTGTTACTTAATTTTATACTACACTGGTGAGACCACGCTTGGAAGACTGTGTCAAATTTTGATCACCGCAGCACATAAAAGAAGAAGTTGAGACTCTAGAAGGAGTGCAGAGAAGAGCAACAAAGAGGATGAGGGGACTGGAGGTCAAAACATACGAAGAACAGTTGCAGGAATTGGGTATGTCTAGTTTAACAAACAGAAGGCTCAGGGGAGACATGATAAAAGTGTCTTAATATTTGAGGAGGGGCTTCTATAAAGAAGAAGTCAAGCACCTGAAGGCAAGACAAAGAAACAATGGAAGGAAACTAACCAAGGAGAGAAGCAACCTAGAACAAAGGAGAAATTTCCTGACAGTTAGAACAATTAACCAGTGGAAAAACTTGCCTTTAGAAGTTGTAGGTGCTCCATCACTGGAGCTTTTCCAAAAAGAGACTGGACAACCGTTTGACCCGGATGGTATAAGCTCTCTTGTCTTGAGGAGGGGTTGGACTAGAAGACTTCATAGGTCCCTACCAGCCCTCAGATTCTATGTTTTAATTGTACCCAGAAAAGAGATTGCCACCAAATGTAGCTCACCTCAGAGCAGGGGTGAAATCCAGCAGGTTCTGACAGGTTCTGGAGAACCAGTAGCGGAAATTTTGAGCAGTTCAGAGAACCGGCAAATACCACCTCTGGCTGGCCCCAGAGTGGGGTGGGAATGGAGATTTTGCAGTATCCTTCCCCCAGGAGTTTTTTTTTTTTTAATTTGATTTATATGCCGCCCTTCTCCGGAGACTCAGGGCGGCTTACAATGTGCTCAGCTATAGCCTTCATCCTTTTGTATATTTATACAAAGTCAGCTTATTGCCCCCACAACTGGCTCCTCAATTTACCTACCTTAGAAAGGATGGAAGGCTGAGTCAACCTTGAGCCTTGGCGAGATTCGAACCCTGCAGTAATTGCAGGCAGCTGGTCTTAATAACCAGCTTAATAACAGGGTGCCTTAAACCCCTGTACTACCAAGGAGTGGGGTGGGAATGGGGATTTTGCAGTATCCTTCCCCTGGAGTGGGGTGGGAATGGAGATTTTGCAGTATCCTTCCCCTGGAGTGGGGTGGGAATGGAGATTTTGCAGTATCCTTCCCCTGGAGTGGGGTGGGACTGGAGATTTTGCAGTAACTGTCCCCTGGAGTGGAGTGGGAATGGAGATTTTGCAGTAACCTTCCCCTGGAGTGGGGAGGGAATGGGGATTTTGCAGTATCCTTCCCCTAGAGTAGAGTGGGAATGGAGATTTTACAGTATCCTTCCCCTGGAATGGGGTGGGAATGGAGATTTTGCAGTATGCTTCCCCTGAAGTGGGGAGGGAATGGAGATTTTGCAGTATCCTTCCCCTGCCATGCCCACCAAGCCATGCCCACCAAGCCACACCACGCCCACCAAGCCACGCCCACAGAACCGATAGTAAAAAAAAATTGGATTTCACCACTGCCTCAGAGTGGTATTATATGTGCCACCCTAGGGACCTCCAAAATTATCAGAACTTGTAGGTCATTTAGTCCTGCCCCAGTGCATTCTGGACCAATTATAGCTTCCTAACCCTCTTCAAGGGTAGCCCCACGTAGAACGCATTGTAGTAATCCAGAGGAGAGATAACCAGGGTGCGAGTGACCGAGCGCAGGGCCTGGTGATTCAGAAAAGGGCTAGAAAAAAGAAGGACAATGCCTTAGAAATGTAGACATTTCCGGCAAAACCCAAATAGGAATATATTTAGAAGGAGGAAATGGGAGTTCTTCTTTTTCTTCTTCTTCTTCTGTGGAAGGAAACGTTGCAGATGGAGCAAGAGATGAAGTAGCTGCAGGAGAAGAGAAGGCAGAGCTGGGGGTGGGGTTACGTATGTCATCAGCTTAGAGTCTGTTGTGACCCCGACTCCCGAGCCTGTCCTAACAGAGGAAGAGGACTCAGAAGGTGATGGGGAGGAACTGACAAAGCCTCCCTCTCCAGGACCCTCCTCTCTGGCAATGCCTCAGGTTCCCTCCGAAGGCCAGGAGGAACAGCCTGGGATGTGCCAGGAGGAAGGCATATCGGAGCACCCATTGATAGGGAGCGAGGATGATGAATCCTGGCTTGATCCCAGGCAGTGTCAGAGGGAGAAGCGTGCACAGCAACGGAAGAGGCGTGGGAGGGCCAGAGATTGAGCTGAGTCACGGAGCCACACCCCACCAGGAATAAAAGTGGGTGGGATTGCTCTTCAGGCTTTGTGACGGACAAAGTTAAACCCTGAAAGTCACACCGTGATCTCTGAAATTCGGCTTGGATATATTTTGGACTGAACATTGACTAAAGTCTTGTCTTGTGGATAATTTGTTGCTCCTGGAACGGACTGAAGATAAGTCCTCTTCTGCTTTATGGGAGTGAAAACGGTCTTGGCAGGCATTGGGCAGTTTGCTGCCAAAACTTTGGTCTGCCAAGAATTCTAATCTGTTTACCTAATAAAATATTGGCAGGCATGTTTGGTATTACGTTTGCCTGTGTGAGGAAGGGGGACAGAACAGAGTCATTATGTTGCTGTAAGGCGGGAGGTGTCAAACTCAATTTGATTGAGGGCCACATCAGGGCTATGGTTGACCTTGGGGGGCGGGGCGGGCGTGGCCAACTGGGTGGATGTGACCAACCAGGTGGGTGTGGCCAACTGGGTGGCCGTGGCCTGCTTGACACCTCTCCCCAAACTGCTGACATGTTTCCTTTTCACATTGGGGAGACTGGGCCGAAGCTACACTGGCCTGATCTTTCGTCTTCACACTGGGTAGACCAGGACGGCCTCTGTGGGTCAGATCCCACCACATTGCGGGCCAGATCCGGCCGTGGGCCATGAGTTTGACCCTGCTGTAAGCGATCCAAATCCAATCCTTCTTGACTTCCATTGACTCTTCCTATCTGATGCCAGTTTTGCGTTGAACTTTAGTTCTGAAATTTAGAACTAAAATGGACACCCAACATCAAAAACGTCATCAAAAAAGCACAACAGAGAATGTTGTCTCTGCGTCAACTCAGGAAGCTCAAACTGCCCAAGGAGCTGCTGATACGGTTCTACAGAGGAATTATGGAGTCTGTCATCTGCACCTCCATAACTGTCTGGTTTGGCTCTGCAACCCAACGAGACAGACACAGACTTCAGAGGATAGTTAGAACTGCAGAAAAAACAATGGCTACCAACCTGCCTTCCATGGAGGACCTGTATCCTGCACGAGTCAGAAAGAGGGCTGGGAAAATATCTACAGACCCCTCGCATCCTGGACATCAACTGTTTCAACTCCTATCCTCAAAACAACGCTATAGAGTTCTGCACACTAGAACAACTAGACACAAGGACAGATTTTTCCCCAACGCCATCACTCTGCTAAACAAATAATTCCCTCAACACTGTCAAGCTATTTACTAAGTCTGCACTACTATTAATCTTCTCATCGTTCCTATCACCCATCTCCTCCCACTTAGGACTGTATGACTGTAAGTTTGTTGCTTGGATCCTTACGATTTATATTGATATTGTTTCCTGATTGCTTATTTGCCCCCTATGACTATCATTAAGTGTTGTACCTTATGATTCTTGACGAACGTACCTTCTCTTTTTATGTACACTGAGAGCGTATGCACCAAAGACAAATTCCTTGTGTGTCCAATCATACTTGGCCAATAAAGAATTCTATTCTATTCTATTCTATTCTATTCTATTCTATTCTATTCTATTCTATTCTATTCTATTCTATTCTATTCTACTCTACTCTACTCTACTCTACTCTACTCTTCTCTTCTCTTCCCTTCCCTTCTCTTCTCTTCTCTTCTCTTCCATTCCATTCCATTCCATTCCATTCCATTCCATTCCATTCCATTCTTTCTGTTCTGTTCCCAATTCTGTTTGTTCTGTTCTGTTCTGTTCTGTTCTACTCTACTCTACCCTACTCCCTTGATTCCCTTCCCTTCCCTCTTCCCTTCCCTTCCCTTCCCTTCCCTTCCCTTCCCTTCCCTTCTCTTCTCCCCTCCCCTCCCCTTCCCTTCCCTTCCCTTCCCTTCCCTCTATTCTATTCTATTCTATTCTATTCTATTCTATTCTATTCTATTCTATTCTATTCTATTCTATTCTATTCTATTCTATTCTATTCTATTCTATTCCATTCCATTCCATTCCATTCCATTCCATTCCATTCCATTCCGTATTTTCTATTCTATTCTATTCTATTCTATTCTATTCTATTCTATTCTATTCTATTCTATTCTATTCTACTCTACTCTACTCTACTCTACTCTACTCTACTCTACTCTACTCTACTCTACTCTACTCTATTCTAGTTGATTAGATGGTTGAGTATGGGTTTGACCAGGGGTCTCCGTACAGGTAGTCCTTGACTTACAACAGTTCATTTAGTGACCGTCCAAAGTTACAACAGCACTGAAAAGAGGGACTTATGACCGTTTTTCACAGTTACAACCTTTGTAGCATCCCCATGATCATGTCATCAAAATTCAGATGCTTGCCTCGTATTTATGACCGTTGCAGTGTCCC